AGGGTGCGCGCGCGAGTGTGTGTGTGAGAGAGTGAGAGAGAGTGTGTGTGAGAATGTGTGTGAATGTGTGTGAGTGTGTGTAAATGTGTTAGGCCACGGCTGCAGTAGTGCGCACAGTTGTGGAACCTACATTATGGGAGGGACGTGATAGCACTGGAGAGGGAGATTTACCGTGATGTTGCCTGGGCTGGAGAGTTTCAGTCGTGAAGAGAGACTGGACACACCGAGGCTGTTTTCCTTAGGGTCGAGGGGACCGAGGGGGGACATGACTGAGATGTAGAAAATGATGAGGGGGACAGACCGGGTAGACAGGAAGGAACATTTCCCCTTGCCTGGCGGTGCGGGAGTCAACGACCAGGCAGTATTAGATTTAAGACAGGGTGCAGGAGGCTTACAGCAGATGGGAGGAAAAATGTTTTCACCCGGAGGGAGGTGGGCATCTGAAACACGTTGCAAGATGGAGTTGGGGGTCGGGGGGGAGGTGGGGTTAAGGGACAGAAACCTTTATAACATGTGAGAAATGTTTATGCGAACACTTGTGATGCCAAGGCTGGAAAACGGGATTAGACTAGCGAGGTGGTTGTGTTTTCCTGTTGCCCTGCACAGACTCGATGGGCCGAAGGGTCTTTCCACGTGCCAAGGTGCCTTCTACGGTCGAGGCCCTGGGAGACGGTATTTCACCAGAGGCTGCAATTTGAGCTGGCCACGCGGACGGCCCTGTCTGACTCACCGACGATGGACACCACGTCAGGCCTGATGAGGGGCTCCCCACCCGTCAGTCGGATCTTGTCGACGCCCTCCTGGACGAACAGCTTGGCCAGGGTCACCAACTCCTCGGTGCTCAGCAGCTGCGGTTTCGGGGTGAGCTTGATCCCTTCCTCGGGCATGCAGTACTGACCTGGGGTTGGGGTTGGGGCGGGGGGGGTTGCAGAAAGAGAGCAACGCAGAAATGGTCAATCAGTCCGAGGCGCCCTGCTTACGCGCTCTCCCAATCATGTGGCGTGGTCAGAAACAGTGCCCGTTGTGCAGACAGCGCCAGGGACATTGGTGGCGAGATGCCCCTGGGGGTGGGGGCTGGGGTTGGCAATTTGCTTCCACTACAAGGGTAAAACGCGGCCTGTTTCTGGGCTGTAATGTCGTGCGCACGATCGGAAGGGATTTTAACGTTTTCCGGTACTTAAACAAAAAAAAAAAAACTCCCTAATACTGATGCAGAAGCCTGGAGAAACTCAGCAGCATCTGTGCAGACAGAGGGAGTGAGTGAGTTTAACATTTTACGGTGGCTCAGTGGTTAGCACTGCTGCCTCACAGCACCAGGGACCCAGGTTCGATTCCACCCTCGGGCGTCTGTCTGTGTGGAGTTTGCACATTCTCCCCGTGTCTGTGTGGGTTTCCTCCCACAGTCCAAAGATGTGTAGGCTAGGTGGATTGGCCACGCTAAGTTGCCCATAATGTCCAGGCTAGGTGGGTTAGCCGTGGGAAGTGTAGGCTTACAAAGACTGGGTGGGATGCTGTCCAGAGAGTTGGTGTGGACTCGGGGGGAGGTGAACGGCCCGCTTCCACACTGGAGGGATTCTGTAAAACCACCAAGTCTAGCGTGACACTGACTCAAAATTTGTTTAACCCTGACTTGGAGCTGCGCTCGAGATGTTAACTGTGTTTGTCTCTCTCTCTCCCCGCAGATGCTGCCAGGCCTGCTGGAGGCTCTCCAGCATTCTCCGTGTTAGATTCAGATTTCCAGAACGTTCTGCGTTCTTCTGTTCGTCACATGTGCAGTCAAGCGAGTGACCTTGTTTCTGACGTTAGGCTCTCTGGGTCACTCCTGGTCCAGTAGGACTCGGGCAGCCCCCTTCCTTCTGGCATAATTCGATCCTGCCACCCCAAGGTCTGGACACTACGTGTTAGGAACGCTGCCCCCCAATCCCCAAGCTATTTCCCAGTATGGCCCCACTTCAGCGCCCAAGGGCATAGCTCCTGGCATTACAACTGGAGTGGGACAGCAGGGGAGAATGAGAGGCAGGGATTCATTTCAAGCGCGGGAGGGGGTCCCAGTTACCTGAGCCAATCATGCCTCAAACATGTGTCTGCGATCCTACACCCGCCAACAGGGGATCAGGAGGCGAGAGTTATTATCACTGGGCTGTTAATCTGGGGGTGGCCCAGGTAATGTTCTGGGGACCCGGGTTCAAATCCCACTGTGGCTGATGGAGAAATTTGAATTCAACGAAACAGTCTGACATTGGCCATGAATTAACCCATTGTCAACTGCTGTAAAAACCCAACCTGATTCACTAATGTCCTTCAGGGAAGGAAACTGCCATCCTTACCCTGGTCTGGCCTAGACATGACTCCAGACCCACAGCAACGTGGTTGACTCGGAACTGCCCTCTGGGCAATTGGGGATGGGCAATAAATGCTGGTCCAGCCCATGATGCCCGTATCCAGCGAAGGGGTTTTAAAAAAAAAAATGAAAGGACGGGAAGATTTTAAAGGGCCTCTCAACTGCACAAAAGCATCCCAAGTTCCACGCCAATGGTGGCTGGCTCCAAACCTGTTGCCGTAAAATCCCGGCTGGTCAGCCCAGTTTGGGAATGCTGGCCCCATATGGGCTAAGCTTTGTCATACAATGTATGGTGCTATAGTTGGGCTAAAAAAGGTTACCTCAGGAAACAAACAAAATGGCCCACCAACATCAGTTGATTCAATAAATAAAACAAAAAAAAAAAAAAAAAAATTCTCAATAATTAAAAAAACAGTACGACCCCTTCAGGCCTGACCCCCCCCCTTCCCGTGTCTCCTGTTATTGTACAAAGTCTCTCTCGGTCATCAGACTTACAGCGTAGGTTACACTTTTCTGTCAGGGAGATGCGTAGGTAGCTGTGTTGTCTCCCAAAGCTGTCTGTCAGAAAGGCAGAGAACGGCAGCGAGGGCTCACGGACAAAACGACGGCTTTTCCGAAATCCCAGCCCATCCTGAAGTTGGGGTAAAAAAAAAAAACAGATGAGTGAGAAGTAAGGAGCAAACTAGCTTTCACATTGTCTTGTGCAGCGGGACTCAGCTCTGGTCGAACTAAAACTGGTACGGGCAAGGTGAGCGCGAGCGAGAGCAAGGGTGAGAGCCAGCGAGGGCCAGGGCGAGCGAGCAACGTGTGGAGAGAGAGAGAGAAAGAGAGCGTGGGGGCGAGCGAGGGCGAGTGCGAGGGGGCGGGGGCGAGTGAGGGCGAGGGGGCGAGCGAGGGCGAGCGCATGGGCAACAGAGAAGGAGCGCGCGAGCGAGGGCGACAGAGAGAGAGCGACAGAGAGAGAGCGCGCGAGCGAGAGAGAGAGAGTTTGGAGCGATGTTAATGGCGGGGGTTAGCGGAGAGAATTGTGGGAAGGTGGGTTCAGGAGTGACAGACGTGTGCTCAGAGAGGACCGCCCAGAGACCGGGATTGCTAAAGGAACACGCTCGCGTGCTTTCGGAGAGAGGAAGTTGACGTACATTTCCCTGTGGTAGTAATACTACACGAGAGGTTTACAACCCGATAACGTTCAGGGTTAGGCCTGGTCGCCGTGGTGACTGACTGGCCTCGCCCCTGTATCAGACTTTGGACCTGTCCCACACGAAGAGGGGAGTAAGCGGAGGACAGCAACACTGTGTCCTTTCTGATTACCGTAATCTAGTCTGAACAGGGATCTTTAGCCACGCTACGTCATGTTCACAAACATTACCAGGAACATATTTTGCAAGTTGTATAAACCACAGCCAATCCTGGCACAGTCCTTACAGACCTGTTTCCCAGAAACAGTAATAACCCCCCACATCCCCCAACAGCCTTGCCAACAACATACATTTGCACGGCCCCTACAGAGCAGCCAGGACTCTCCACAGGAGGTTTCTCAAACGCGACTGCCCAAAGGTTATGTGGGTGACCTCAATCCAAGGGCCAAGCTGCTATGATGAGCATCTTCCAGGGACAGGAGGTGGAAAAAGCAGAGAGGGGCTTCAGAAGGAACTTCGAAGAGTTTATGACTGAGGCATCTGTAGGCCAAGTGATTAAAGTTATGCAAAGGAGTACTGAAATAGAGAAGGGCAGAGACTGGGAAGGGGTGATTTCTACACAGTGCCCCGATCAGAGGCAGCAAGATGGACGATGACCATTTACAAACAAACTGTGACTCCAACACAAGAGACCGGCTTTCGCTGACCACAACTTCTCAAATACCATTATGCTTTGCTCCCAAAGAACCTTCTTCAAAATAGTCAGTGGTCTGATGTTAGAACATGTCAACTTGACTAATCTCACTCCAACCAAAAAAGAAACTCAACAGGTTTAATTCCACCACAAACTGTCTGATCAACACGTCGTATGGAAACATACAACACATTGACAAAGTGCCAATCCCAATCCTGATCCCGATCCCAGTGTGAACTCAACTCTTCCCTCTCAGAGGTCGCCATCCATGCCCTGTGCTTCCGCTACAGGGTGTTTCTATTCCAGGATTAACACTTCCCCGCTCCTCAAACTCTACAGTCCGTACCTTCACCTCAGGTCAACCCAACGTGACACCACCACCCCCCCACCATGCAGTGGCCAGGGTCTGCTCAGCACTCAGATGTGTGCGTTGATGTGACGCTTTCAATATTCCCAAACACCAAAGCCCTTCTTTGATGCGATACCAAACAACAATTGACACTGAGGCAGACTTAAGTCACACGACCAAAGTTTGGACAAAGTGGTGGGTCTTAAGCTGCATTTGAGGAAAGGAAGAAGGAAAGGGGAAGGTGGAGAAAGAAGAAGAAGGTGGGGACAGAGGGAGGAGGACAAAGAAGGTGGGGATGGGACGGGGAGGGCAGGGTGGAGGAAGGAGGTGGGGGGGGGGAGGAGGGGGAAGAAGGAAGGTGTGGGAGGAGGAAGAAGGTGGGGATGGTGGGGGAGGAGGAAGAAGGAAGGGATGGGGGTGGGAGGGAGGAGAAAGAAGGTGGGGGGGGGAGGAAATAAGTGGGGACGGGTGGGGGGGAGAGGAGAAGAGGAGGAGGAGGAGAAGAGAAGAGGAGGAGGAGGAGGAGGAGAAGAGAAGAGAAGAGGAGGAGGAGGAGAAGAGAAGAGGAGGAGGAGGAGGAGGAGGAGGAGGAGGAGGAGGAGGAGAAGAGAAGAG